ACCACTTTCTTAAATCAAGTTCTGACATTAACATGAGATCTCAGGGGTTAAATCTTCTTTGGATGCCAAGGATATACTTGATTTCTAAGCCATGGCTTAAATAATACATAAGTATTCCACATGCCCCTTTAAAAATTCTAGATAAGAGAGTTAGTTGGGTTAGACCATGGGAAAAAGTCTTTTGACATTTACAGCTCCCAAATACACAGTGATAAAATATTTCATGGACTGGTACAAATGCTTTATTACTTTTAGTCAGTAATATTTATTTAAAAAATTAGCAATGCTTTATAGCACTTTTTAAGAACACTTAAATATATTAAATTCATATTTCACAAACTCATTCTGTGGTTTACTCAGAAATAAATTTGACTGATTGTAGTTCAAATGTGTCTTTTTAATAGTTGTGAAAGGATAGAGTATAAATAATCATATAAATAAATTCACACCCAAGTAAGGATTCATATAATTACAAGTTTAGATATCCTTAATTCTTCCTGAAATGTGAGAAATTGTACAAATAGAACCCAAACTATTTATAGCAGATAAATAGCCACTGGACACTCAGGTAGTCAATTGATTATGTAAATACACTGCATTATTTTGAAAAACATGAGGATCTTTGATGCAAGTCTCTAACAAATTATAAAATTAGGTAAGTAATTATTCTGAAAAATCGTTTGTCATAATCAGTTACAGTTATGCCAATTTTGGGGTACAGTCTATTGACAATTACAGGTAACATAGCTTCAATATCATCTAAAAAAAAAAGGAAGACACAAAAAGAAAAAGATGATTCCTGAGTAAAGAACAATTTTCCTATTCACTATTTCTCCATTTCAAACCAACCCTGCTACTTTGCTTCTTATCAAATGCATGGCCAGTCAAAGCAGGTCACCTAAGTATAACAGATGGGTGAAAAATTAGTAGCTTTATAAAGAAGCCAGGTAAATACTACCTGCTTTGGGTGAATATGTAAATCAAGAGCTGCTTGTTTATAGAGACAAAGCAGCAGCAATAGTATTAAATGTGCCATCAGCTCTAGTGCAAATAATAGCAAAAACACACAATTTCTAACTGCAACCAATGTTTCAGGCTTACTATAATTTTTGAAACAAAAATGTGACAAAAATGCCTTGTTCTTTTTGTTATTAGCATGTGTCAAAATTGCATACATTACAAGAAATATCATTAAATAGGTTTTCTTCCCTGAATCCCAATGATTTTTAAAAAATTCAACATATCCTTTCATAATATAATCCTATTCTTTTATAAATGTTATAATTCTTTTATAAGATCTTATTCCCATTATTAGTATAGTTGATCATTTTGTTGGATAATGTTCCACGTATACCTAAAACAGATGTTCATCTTTATACACCGGAATACAGTTTGTATTATAATGCTTCATCTCTGACTAAGAAATTTTGGACTTATTTGCTTTCCCCAATTCCAAGTGCATGTTACAGAGTAAGTGAAATTACTATCAACAAAGAAGCTGACACAAGTCATATTCTTGTTTTGGCTATAGTACATTCAAATCTTATACTGCCACCTGGATCTGATGGCAAGCACTGAACCTCAGTGTTATGTGTTGCTTTTTATCATGTTATTAGAAACAGGCCAGAGCTTAGATACACACTTTGATTCTATAGATACGCTGCATCTTCAGTCAGTGTAATAATTACAGGTAGGTCACAATTAGTGTGAGTTCAAATAAGGTAATATTCAATTTAGTGCAAATTGTAAATTGATACCAGGTTGTGTTTAATACGACCCAGAATTCAGTTAATGTGAAGCTAGCATGTGCGCAGTTGAGGCTAGCAGTTGTGATTGGGGTACTAGACGCTGCTAATCTTCGTCTGTGTAAAATAAAGAAAAGGAAGATTCCGTCAAAGGAAAACAGTACAAGTGTATAAAAGAAGAGGCTCATTATTACATTAGAGCAAAAACTTTATGTAACTGAATGACATGAATGTAGTCATAGCAACACTATAATAGGATGAGATGTTGGAATGCCTGAATGTTTTTGTTTTTATTTTGCTTTCTATAACTACTTTGTGACTTTGTTAACCATAGATTTAAATTATGTATTTTTTTATCCTTTACTGTAATATTTCATTAATATACATATACAAATTTATGTTTAAAATTTATGCCTATTTCCATCAAGCTGGAACCAATTATCATATTTTCCATAAAAATATCACTTCGAATAGTGCAAATTAAAATAATGCGGCCATTTTGTGGGATTCATTAACTGCTCTAATTGAGACCTACCTGTAATTTCAGTATGAAATTAAAGTAATATTTTAAGTTGGCATGAAAATAGTGACAATTCTACTGCAGAGCTTGTGTGACCTTTTCCAGTATGTTCACATCAGACAAGTGAAAATAATTCCAAATCAGATATCTGAATCTCAGAGAACCATTAGACCATTTAAATATTTACCTAATTTTAAATCTACACAATGAAGTTTTTAACTTCATTTTTTCCATCAAAATATTTTTCAAACCAGCACATGCAATAATCCACAAACTCTCATTCCAAGAATATCTATTGTCTTTATTTCTTTTAAAAAATGTTGCCCTATTAACACAATTCTCAGATATTTGTAAAGTATTTGGAACTTGCATTTTCAATTACTTAGAAATTACTTTATAGCAAACTCTTCAACTGATGAAGACATATAGTACTTGTCCTGCAAAAGTAACACAAAGATTTTTTTTCTTCTCATTTCCTGAAACTATATCTACAAATGGCACAGACTAAATGTAAGTTTTGTAAGGACAAGCAGGTTTGTCACTGCCCAATCAATGAGTCATATGATGATGATAGCAATAATGCCTCCACTTCAAGGATAAATGCTTTATGTACCATTTCAGTAAGGAACATATTACCGAGTTAATTTTAAGTATTCTCTTCTGTGGATGCCTATAGTAGGATGCTACAGCTTAGTAATAATACCAACTGTACACCAGATAAACGTATATTTACACACATTCACCTATATCCATATTGACACCTTATTTGCACAAATGTAGCAGTTATTAATCTTACTCCTGTATCTTTTCTTCTCTTCAAGTAATTGCTCTGTCAAAATGTTTTTCAAGAGTAGCAATCATGTGCATATTGAAAGGACTGTCTCCCTTCTTTCTGTATAGGGTTGTTAAAGCAAAGTTCTAGCAATTCTTTCACCATAGGAAGAGAATTAATGCAAGTGCATTACCAAGGAGCAACTAGATACCTGAAACCCTTTCTCCAGTTAACAGATTATCTCAATAGCACCCAAGCAATATGGGATGGGCAGGGAGTCTTTTCAACTTGCCCTGCATATGATCAGCAGCATTGTAAGAAGAGAATCATCTCAACTAAATTGCAGTCTTCCACTATTAGACACACTTCTTGTTCATCCACCCAACAGGCAGATTCAAGGTACAATACCATCACAATGCCACTCTCTGGAGAAGGGATGCCTAGCACAATCACCAGATGCCTTAGTTTCAGAATACATAATTAAGACCTGTTCTAATTCAAGTTGGAAAAGGAAAAAACAAAAACAAAACAGATACCTCATTCTTCTGAAAGATACAGAGCAAAAATTCACCCATTACTGTTTTATCAGCTTTAATACTTTTCTTAAGGCACACTTGGCATGGAAGTAGTTATACTGATTCTCTTCGAGCTAACATTTTGATTTTTTTTTTAAAAAAATCTGCATTTGTAATGTATGTGGGACAGACATTCTAAAGTAGTTTTTCAGGTGTGACAATTTTATGCTTAAGTACAATTCCTAATTATGTTCATAGGACCTTTGCAACTATCTTACTATTGATTAAAAATAAAAACAAGAAAACATCCTATTACTTTCTAATGTTTACAGGGTTTTAAAGCTGTCCTATCATTACCTCATATAAGTTTGTTCAGCTTTTATAAATACTTCCTATTTATTAATTTGCCTCTCTCAATTAATTTGTAAAAGTTGATTGACTGTAATGCAATTGGTTCTTTCTATGAATGGAAAGCTCTTTGATCCAGAGGAATAAATGGGAAGGGATTTTTTTTTTCAACTTCCTCTTATCCTCTACAGCTTTCACTGCCCCTTCCTATGCTATACAGGAGATGGTAAATATTTTGAGAGATCCTGTGAGACCATGGAATAGAGGAAACATTGACAAAAATAATCCTTTCAACAGAAAAGGTAACTTTCGACACAAGCATTGATATTCTACATAAATATAACCTATATAAGTGGTTATATAAAACTCTTGTATCCCAAGATATAGTGCAAATATTAACAGGGGTGCAGAACACATTGAATTTTTGTAAAGGGGGCATAAAGACATTTAATAGATTTTTGAAATAGCAAGACTCTGAAATTGTTTTGGTCATTATTAGGAAAGACCCTTGTTAGGTTAACCATCATCTTGCTTATGCATGTCAAATCTCACAAGGGGAACAGAAGAAATTTGCATCAGAATGGAAGGAGAGAGTTGTGACTCATTGCTAACCAGAGCTAACAGAATATTGTTTGTCCATGAAGAATCAAAATTATATTTCACATGACAAATTGACGATAACTGGCACCTCCTAGTATTTGAATACAGCATCAAGTGTGGGAAGTTTTTATGTCAGCAGGCAGCTGAGATAGACAATTCTATTTTAGAAATGCTATGAAAATGTAATGCCATCCAATAGATAAGCCCTTATATAAAATGTGTTACTGAATTTTGTTTAGAAATATATTTACTATATATCAAAATAGGTTGTTTTTAAATTTGTTTGCTTTCTCTAAAGATTTGATTATTTATCATTTACAGTCATTACTACTTGTCTGCTTACTATAGTTTAAAATAAATGCCCCAATGAATAATTTTCCAAAACATATAAACCACAACTTGAAATGAGAACTGCTCAGAAAAAAAGCAGTACAATATTCAGTGAAGAACGAATTATATTCTTGGAACATTTCTGTTTATTACAATACACAGGCACTTACTTTGGCAGCGTTTTCAAGTGATTCTCTCGTAATTCCAATATTCGTAATTTAACAAGTCTGGAAGTAATAAAGATTAAAAAAAATTAAATTAGAAATTCATTAATTGCTAGGGAGTTCATTGTTCCAATGCCAATGATGCAAACCATATATGTGCATAGAATTATCCCTGTGCACCTGCAAAACCTCAAATGACAATCACAACTATATGTCTGCAGCTGAAATTAACAGGTCTAAATTAATTTCTGATTACATCTACAAGGCAAATATGCTGACTCTTCATATTCAGCATGTATTTCTGGCTCTAAAATGTTAGCTAACTTAGATGGCATTAATCAGCTGTGATTGCTGGCAGTATTCTTCAGGAAATCTTGACGAGCCACATGAGAGCAATTAAAGAGGAAAAAAGTACAAAAGGCTTCAATAAATGGATGTTGCCATCAATTACTACTTTTTAGATTTACTCAAGTCATAGCAAATGCAAAATACCCTGAGCATGATTCAGCATGTATATATTTATTTTGATTTTCTGTAGCACTAACAAAAAAGAATTAATCATGTTTTTGTAAGTTAACTGGTAAAGAGAAAACTTAGGAAGAAAAAGCATCCTATGGAGATAAAGGAAAATAATGTTTTTGAAAATGTCAAATCTTTGACAGTGATAGCGAGCTATTAGCCATGTAATCTCTAGTGCCTCTAGAGAGAATAAAACATGTAATGTTTTCGAACATTTCTCATGATGGTTGACTAAGATCTATGTAAATATAAGGTATCTAAAATGCCTTAAGTACAGTGCAATAGGGCAATCTGCAGGGCAAACAAACTATTGGAAAAACTATAAGAAGCCTCAGTAACTTATTAATTGCTATTTTTAACATATATACATTTTAAATAAAGATTCCCCTGATATCTTTTTTTCCTCCTCTGCTTTAGAAGTTCACATTTTATCTGAAAATACATTAGAATCATATTATGGGACGTGCCTCCTTATTTACAGGAAATAATTTATATTTTTGTGGGAATATATATTTAATACAACACACTATATATTCTAATTTTGCTGTTTTAAGACTAAAAGATATGTTAAAATAATGGAATTACAGAATCCAAAATAGTAACATCAATGAGTCTAAAAGTTATATATTTTACTAAAAACACATCATCAGCTGACCATATTGAAAGAATGTAAAATTATAATAAAATTATAATGAAAAGGGAAATGATATGTGTACTACCTTCATTCATAGTAGCAGCCATAGTACTCATTCATGCATTAAAGGAAAGTGTGAGCAAATTGCACTTTGACCTTCCCTATTTTTCTTGAAACAGGCAAAGTGAAATTCGAGCATCTCGACTGCAGTTAAAATCAATGAACGCCAGGAGATATCTAGAGCTCATACATTACGTGCATGTGCAATTCTTCACTTTGCACATTAAAGCTGAATTGGGTAAATCAAATATGTAACTCACCTATGTTTCTGCTTGCTTTCCCTGTTTTTCTGTAAAGTATCTGACATAACCTATCATCATACAAATAATTGGATACATGATATTGCATGTATTGGAAACACAATTATTAGGGAACAATCTATAACAATTAGGTGACAAATCCTTAAGGCTTTATCTATATCTTTTTCCAATCAAGTGGTTTCAATGCCTGAGCTAAGATGCCCAGTTTTAGATTTACTAATCTATTTCATTAAACAACTATATTGTCTCAAGAGATATACTGTCAGTTTGCAAACTGTAACTTTAAAACAGCTTCAAACTGTGATTAAAGATCCTGGTTAATAAACTGTTATTTCAAATATATTGGTTAAGCCAGATATAAGCATTAAAGAAGGGGACAAAGAGAAGGAGAATGCACAGAGTCTTGCTGTTTGTCTCCAGCTTCAAATTATGGTAACTAAGACCTGAAATAGGTCAATGTAACTGACTCAGTTCTACTACAGGACATTTTGGAGCAAAGATTTCTTGATATAAAGTAGGAGCAGGAATCAGTAAAAAGACTCTGCTACTGTTGTCAAGCTCAAGTTTTAAATGTTACTTATATAGGCAGGAACAAAGACCCAGCATTTCATGACCAGCTTCCTCCCACTTGCTATCTTGATAATGGCCACTGTTCTCAGTTATTCAAATGTCTTTAGAAGAAAGCTTAAGCAAGGCTGAATGAGTGCACAGTGTTTACAGCACTGTACAGGTATGAGTAAACAATGTTTTCCAATAGTTATGAATACAATTATGTTTGCTGCAATATACATACTTTTGATAATCCTACATATTTTAAATATATGTATATATAATCCTTTCTTGGTGGAAGGGCAAAACCTTAATATGCAGCAGCAAAAGAAGAGCATGGGTTAAAAGTAGGGGCAACACAAAACTACTGAGATTTTGGCTTGCACACACCTCTTCCCATTGTAAGCTCTTAATTACTTTCTGGTATACAGCTAATCACAGTTTTCCTGTTCAGTGTTATGGCAAACAATGTGCATGTTTGCATAATAAATTAAACCGGCCTAGATGATTAACAGGAACATCCATGTAACTTTTTATCTCTATTCCATGAAGTTTTTTACAAGATTGGTTGTTCCTCTGTAGTTAAGTACACTTATGACTGCAGAACAGCCACTCCCTGAAATTTGAAATCAAGAAATAAGAAGGATCTCAGCATAGAGTTTATATTCATCAGAAATTGGTTCTGTTTGTATGGCATTTGAAATAAGCAACAGCCATTGATAATCTTAATTATGTTGTTTCATGTAATAGTAGGAGATAGAAATTGAGTTCATGTTACTCTAGATAACTCCTCCTATCCTGTGAGACAAAAGTAAGTATATAGCTATTTTTTGGGAAGGAATAAGGAGATAGTACTCACATTGTTTGCTCTGCCATCCATGACTATAGATCAAGATTTAACCATAATTTGTAGGATAGTGAAAACCAGTTTAGATATAATAGCAGATTATGATTTGCTGTAACTCAAAAGCGAATTAAGTAGAAAATGCAAACATTAGAAGGAATATGCAAGCAAAGGACTTTTTTCTATATTGCTGAACCACTAAATATGAACTGTTATTTGTGTTGCTTGTAAATTCCCAATGCCTTTGTCTCATTTTAGATGATTATCAGCATTTCTGACTTCTGTTACCAACACTAGATATAAAGTTCCTTTATAGATCATCAACATATGCTTTCCAGAACAGTAATAATTGCTAATAATAATAATTGTAAAATACGTATTTGACAAATTAGTAATAAGTGGTAGATTTCTAGAAAGGAAAATAAATGAATTAAAATAAAATATTAATTTACTGGCTTAACATTGGAAAAGAGACACTTTGCTGTCAATATCAGACTGGGAAACCAAACCAGGGGAATACACAGCAATGGCAAAATTAACAGTATATATTCAGAACTGAAGTTTGACTAAATTTAAGAAGAATGGCTCCCCGTATAAAAATTATACACAGACATTTAGAGTATAATTTTTAAGGGGGAAATAATTGATGTAAAGATAATAATTAGAAACAATTTTGATGTTTATAAATATGTTGATGCAATCAGTTGAGTACAATTGGAGAGAATTTAAAACCATGTAGTTTCCCAATATTGTTTTAATTTATTTTTCTCGTTAAAAAAAAACAACCCCTTTTTTAAATGTTTTTTCCTTTTTCCCTTTTTCCCCTTTCTTTTCCCTTCACATGATTATGTGGATCTACCCTTGAAACAGTGATGATATCAATATTAATATTATGTTCAAAGTTTTATAGAGATTTCTAATTATTTCTTAAGGTGGCTTAATTAGTTCTATATATTTAATTTTACATATGGTAATTGTAAACTATTTACTGATATTTTATTCTTTCTCTTTTTCTTTTATATACCTATTTCTTCTGTTCCTTTAAATGTTTTATTAAATAAATTATAACATAAGATAAAAAAAAATCAACCTACTCCTCAAAGTAAAAAAATTAATACCATAAAACTTCTCAGAAACAGCTACACTTAGTGGGATGCCAATTTATAAATGTTTGCATTAGTAAAAAGCACAAATTATTTCACAGTCACTACCACTACCATCTCTCTGTGTTATGTCACATTATTACTATCAGTAGTAGTAGTAGTAGTAGTATATTTTAAGGAAAAGAAAATTAAAGTCAGGAAAAATTGCAGTTAGTCACTGTTGGAGTCCAAAGCTGAGCAAAGATCTGAAGTGGTCTCTTTGATCCAGCCCAAACTTCCATTATTTAAATTATGATGATGCAATTTTATTGATCTTTTAGATATCTGAATTGTCACATCCATTTTTTAAAAAATATATTCTATATTCATTACCTCTGTATCTCTCTCACTGTTAATTATGGAAGAAATTAATTAATTATGGTTGTACTGGACCTCTTTTCTTGCAAAAAGGACTTCCATCTCCTCGCAGCTGTAACTACTACATACTCCCAGATTTTACCCAAAAGAACTGGCTTACTCTCTGGAACACTCTGAAGACACATGAATGGAGCAAGGGAGAGGGAAGCAGACCATCCCTCTATTTCCACTGACATAAGCAGTTCTATTAGCAGAAACATTCCAGCAGATTTTACCTTACATCCTTTTTTTTGGCAAGCCAAAACAAAAATATTATTTTCTCATCAATAGAAAAAGTATGCTGTATCACAGTGTTATTACCACTCAATATTTTTATATTTTTTCTTTCAGTTTTATGCTTTTTATAATTTTAAGCTTTTAATAATAATAATATTAACAATTGTTTTGTAAGTATTAATTGTTTTTTTAGCTTTGTTGTACGCTGCCCAGAGTCACTCATTTGTGATGTGGGTGGCCATATAAATTTGATGAATAAGTAAATAAATAAATGACAACTTTTCAGCTGCTTGGTTGCCAGATACGATTCCACATTTACATCAACTGATTGAATACCACAACAGTCTTATGTTAAACTCATTTGCCACTGGAGATTTGTTACCACTCTGATCCAGCTCAGCACTATTCTCCTTCCATCTGTACTGGAAACCATTCTAATTAGCTTTCCTGTACTGGAACAGATCTCTTTCCTCAAGCCTACAAAGCAGTTATCTCAAAGAAAAACCTATTAAATCACAGTTCTAATCCAGAAAAAAAGTGAAGACCCGTAGTTACTAAACAGTCTGTCTTTTAGTCTTCATGCTTTTAAATTTGCAATCTTATCTTCTGTAATCCAAAATCCTTGTTTTGTTTTGTTTCGGTTTGGTTTGGTTAAGACTAGAGGGAATTCACATATGTAAAACTTACCTTCCAAAGTTAGCTGGAAGAAATTCCAGAAAGGCATCATTTAGATATAGCTGGGCCAAATTTAAAAGCTGTGTGAAACCATCTGGGAGCCTAAAAAATGAGTTAAAGATTTAGCATTGATGCTGTAGGAACTGTTCAGATGTAAGTCCCAACAGATAACATGTCCTCAACCCCATGCTCACTGCTAGAGCCTTTTGTTAGAGCTAACATTATGTCTGTTATAAAACAAGTAACACAGTGCAGTGCTGCATTGAATAATGTAAGCTTATATCATCTCTTTTATTTGGCTATGTAAGCATTTCAGCGGTGAATTAAATTTCAAAATAACTAGATGATCTGCTACTTTTTGCAACAACTGGAACCAATAGCATTATGTACATGCAAGTTTATGCTGACTGAGGATTACTGCTTTGGAAAATATGTTGCTATTTATCACTCTAAAATAACCATAAAATATTATTATTTATAAGAGTATGTACTGTACCTTATTTGCATTGCCAAAACTGAAATGCTCAGTAAAAAAGTGTAGGGGAAATAAAACTGCATGGAAGAATTAATAAATCAATATTGTAGAGTTTAAATAAAATAGGGGGCAAAGGACAGGACTACTAATTTATGCATAAGAAGGGGCGGTTTGATATATTTCACCTAAACTATTGATGATATCAGTTAATTTACAGAATAAACACTTCTCTAAGACATCTTACATTCACTCCCATGAGTATTTTTAATACATAATTTATTAACAAAACAATCCATAAACCAAATAAGAGGAATACAAAAGAAAGTAAACAATCCCCAAACAAGATAAGTACTATAAACCACAGCTCCTTTAGTTAGATCTATCACTGTTCTCATTTCCCAGTTTTATCTCATATCATTGGTGAATTACATCCTTTCAAAGTAAACATTGCTGTCCTGCAGCCTATATTTCTTTGTAACCAAGAGAATGGCAATCATTTCTCAATAAATATGTCAACTTGTCATTGTTCTTGGGACAATCTTTGATCAATGTCTGTCCAGAAAAAGTATATGCTTTGATTTGTCCATCCAATTTTTTATAGAAAGTTCTGTAATCCTATGAGTGTCTAACTGGAACAAAGCTCAGTTGTAGTTAAACCAGTTCAAACAGGTTTACTTTTCATGACAGTGTGCATAAGGTCTATAGCCTTAGCCAATATATTCCCACAGTATCAACACCTTTGTAAGTGACACTGCTACATACAGCCCAGCTATGTGCTAGCACCTATCTAACTTGATTTTGAAAAGCCAAGGATTGGCTCTGGGTAGGAAACTACTAGGATATATCAGGGTTGTAGGCTGGAGTGGAAAGCTGAAAAAAATATCCCAAAAGTATGCAATGGCAAACCACTCGCATACTGTTCCCAAGAAAATTACATGGATTTAGACATGAAGTCATCAGAAGTCAACCTCAACTCAAAGTAGACTTAATATTTTTATAATTTTATCAGAATCATCATTCTGACACCATTCTAAAGCCTTTCGTAAAGCCTTCTGGCTACGTGTCTGGGCCTGGCGCCCCACATGTTTTAAAGACCCTGTCTCTTGGCTATATTGATAATTATTATGATAATTTTCTCAGCTGCTGTATATATTTGTTTTTGTATTGATTTAATTATTTTTATTGTTTTAGAATTGTTTGCCGCTCAGAGTCACTTGGTTGAGATGGGCGGCTGTAGATATTAAATAAATAAAATAAAAAAATCTTACGGATACTGCTGTAGATGTTGTCACGGATGTTTAATAAAAAAGTATTAAAAGAGATGCAACTGAGGAACCAAACCAGCTGTTAAGAAATAGGAGTGTCAAATATCATTGGTTCAAGCTCCATTCATAAAACAGACCCTCTCCTCCTACTATAATGTAAACTCTTCTGGAACATTAGATCTCTCACATTTCAGGAACTATGTTGTTTATATTTTATTTATTTTACAGCAAAAAGGCCTGAAAAATATGCTGTTTATACATTCAGACTGTTTTTAACCCTGATGAATTATAATTCCTGCTGCACACGAAATAGAATTGTATTTTTGAGACAACACATCTCTGACACATTTAATTGATTTTTTTGCTATCTGTTTTTATACAGACAAACAAAGGCAGTTCAGAGACATGTTTTCTTGTCCTCTATCATCTATGTTAATTTACAAGCTTGCGGGTAAGCAGACCAAAGACCCCTTGTAGGGTCTATGCGAACTATCCATATTCTTCTACCTGATCTAAATGATAAAAGGCAGCCAATAAATTCTTTCAAGACAAGCTCTGAATGACGACACCCAAATGTGCTGCCACACTGGAGTCATTCATATTTCTATCTTTGCTATAAAATATGATATACCTTTACTAAACACTGGCATATGTTAAATACCGCACACATAAAAGAGGCAGAGAAAAAATTCCACTGAGGAACACTTACTTAGAAATAGGATTGACACTGGCTTCAATTATTGTTAAACACTTACAGCACTTTATATTTTCTGGAAAATCTTGGATCCCTAAAAGAAAAACAAAACTGTTATATTTATGAACATAATTGGTTACTTTCCTCCTGTGTTTATTTTAGTAGAAAGACGTAAGCCATTAATTTAGTCCCAAGCAAATCTGAACTATATGAAGCTCATGACAAACCCCAGGGTTCAAACAGTCCTATCAACATATATTAATATTTCTGAACAGATTTCACACACAGATACTTAATATAATGCCTCATATTTCACTTGGTTTCAAACATTCCTTGAGTTGAAGAATAGTTTCCTGACCAACATAGTTACCTACCAATACAAAAAGACCTGTTATACAAGAAAGGTTTTGTTGAATCGAAGCTATATCTATAAACCATTATTTGTAGCTGAAATAAAGGCTAGCCTCTTGGATGAACTGTACATCAAACAAGCATGAGGATGAGCACACTGTTGGAAAACCTGAAAGACCAGGTTAGGGACAGATCTTCATGGAGAAAATCTACCTGTGTGGTTGCTAGGAGTCGACAATGACATCACATAATCAAACACAGTTATAAGCCACTGGACACTTACTATTAAAAATATCCATATAAGAGGTGTATTGTACAATACTTCTGTTATAAAATACGCTATGAAACTCATAGTGATGCAATTCATTTCTAAGGGTCTTTTTTTTTTTTTTTAGAGTTACTCCATTCTTAGTGCAAATCATGCAGAATAAGTATAGGCTTCCTAAATTTAGGTGACATAGAATGTAATTCATTTACATTCTAAAATTGGAGAATAAACTTGCAATTTCTTTCAGTACATTGCAAAACAATGATAAAAATACAATAATAATTTTCAAAATCACACTCTGATATAATCACTAGATGTAATAAAAGCCTATCCATTCTACGTAAACTTAAAGATTAAAAACCTTTCTTAAAATTAAAAAAAAACAACTCTCAATTACTGGCCTAAATGGGCCAACGTTATGACCCTAATGGAACCCCATAATTGTGCAGCTACCACAAAAAAAACTAAACCAGAAGATAGAAATGTTACACATGGGATACTCAGTGGGGAATAAGTGGGGAATTGTATTGGGGGAAAGAGCCCACAAATACATTGGTAATCAATGCAGCTCTTGTGCTAAATTTGACTGCTGCAATAAACTGAAATGCCTCTTTTCTTTGTATAACACGTTACAGAAGAACAGGGGCCAAACTCCAAGTTATGGAATTTAACTCCAAGTTAAACTCCAATCAGTCACTCACACCCTGGTCATCTTTCCTTTAGACTACTGCAATGCACTCTACATGGGGCTACCCTTGAAGAGTATCTGGAAGTTACAGCTGGTTCAAAATGCGGCCATGTGGACAAACTTGGGTGTCCCAAGGATGGCACATATAACACCTTTGCTGCGAGAGTTGCATTGGGTCCCAGTTTGCTTCTGGGTTCAATTCAAGGTGTTGGTTATTACCTTTAAAGTCTTACATGGCATGGGTCCAGGCTATCTGAGGGACCGTCTCATCCTCATCACATCATCCCGTCCTACCTGGTCAGGCAGAGGGGGTATGTTACGGACCCTGTCAGAAAGAGAATATTGGCTGGCGGGGCCCAGGAGGAGAGCCTTCTCTGCCATTGCCTCTGCCCTCTGGAATATTCTCCCCCCAGAAGTGCGGTGGGCCCCTTCCTTCCTGGCTTTCTGGAAAGAACTGAAGACCTGGTTCTGCCAGCTTGCAGGGGGCAAGAAGAGTTTTAATCAACCCTAGGGGTGGCTGGCGTCCTGATGACGTTCCCTGAGCCTAATAATTTTTAGCTACCATCAATTATCTTGGAAGATTATTTAAGACTAATTGTTACATTGTATTTTTAATTAATATTTACCTTTCCTGTGAACCTCCCAGAGTCATTTTCTAACAAGATGGATGGTGATAAATAAATAAATAAAGTTAAAGTCAAAGCCTGCTGTTTCCCACAAATAAATGTAGGGGCTCAACTAGATTGGAGCCCCAAGGAGACAAGTTTCAAAACATGTTTAGACAACTGCTGGACCTCAGGATACATGTTTCAGTCTCAATACCTTTTTTTTTACAGCTGAATCCTGCTCTTAATAAAAATTAGGATATAGCTTTCCATCATTTTGAAAATGTATAATTCTAAATTGGCTTAATACATCAAATAGTTTCTCACTCTTGGTTCAGATCTTCACTTCTCAATTTTTTTCTTCTCAGTATTTGACAGCCCTTCAAGGTGGACCAGACTAGGAAACCAGAGTCAAGCAGGCCAATACTACTTTTTTTATAAGGCCATGGTAACTGAACATTGCACATCTGAATGCACTTCCCCCCTTCCCTGTCTTTATCTTTGTGAGAACTAGGGAGGGGCTTGTCTGAGATGTTTTCTCAGGTTACAGTTCTGGTTCGAACTCAGGTATCTTTTATCTGACTGTTGTCTTGGTAGTGGCTCTTCCTCCTGTTCCTCAAGGTTATTCCTCTTTTCCATTACAGTATTCCCCCATTGGTATTACATGATACATACAGTGGTACCTCGGTTCACGAACTTAATTCGTTCCGTGACTCTGGTCGTGAACCGAATTGGTCGTGAACCGCATCAAATTTTCCCATAAGGTTCAATGTAAATACGATTAA